GGGTGTGTGACTGAGTTTTGAAGGTGATCTGAATTGTATCAGATGTATAAATAGTACATGTGAATAACTTATTGTTTTATAAAACGTGTAGTGGAGATAAATCTACCTACATTTTACTTTTCAACACTTTTTGTTTTCTTGTTTTTATTTAACTATTTCCTGTCCTGTCTGTCTCTCATCTTCCTGCATCTCCTCTAAACTCCCCAGATAAACTGCAACCTGGATTCTTACTTTTTCACCTCATCAGTTACTTCTGAGCAGATGAAAGGGATCTCCTGACCGCAAAGCGGAGAGCACGTTTCGATGCTGCGTCAGTGAGGTGAAACACCGCAGCACACGATGAGCGGAGCGCGTCAGGAACGATTAAAAGACAGAATACCAGAGGATATGAACAGATATGAACGATCATTTGTTAATAATGTTTTGTTGCACCACTTTGAGAATGTGTCGTGCGCCGGACGCAGCGGGCGCACCAACGATCAGCGCTCTGCGTCTTCTCTGCTCAACAGAATCCCGCTACGCTGAGAGTCCATAAATATTGTAATATAGGCAGAAACTGGATCTTTTCCTGGAAGATATCTAGACCCCATAACTCGATCCCTGCCCCTGGATGAAAAATCGGACATTTTGGTCAATGTAGGGAACCCCCCCGGACGCCCCGGACAGAGAGTGGAAAGTGGACATGTCCAGGGGAAAGAGGATGTATGGTCAGCCTAACCTTGCCCTGTCTGCTCCTCCTTGCTGTCTGCCGGCTGTGATCACAAGCAACAACAGAGTAGTTCCCGCTGCTTCTTCGGGAAACAGCGCAAAAAAAAAAAAATTATTACATGGGATCTTGTATGCGTGGTGCTGGGATTTCAGCCATGGCGGGCTGCTATGGCAACGCCTATGTAAGGGAAACACTGCACTTTTGGTCAAGGGGGGTGCGTGACCGATGCAAGATGGCAGAGCCACCGCTCGTCAGCGCCCATAGGCAGTAGCGGCCACGTGGGGTCTATCAATGTGTAGGGGAACAACAATGCCCAGTAGGAACGGGAGCTAGCTGGTTTGATGAGAACAGGTAAGAGGAAGGTTTGGCCCGTGTGTTTGGTCTGTTCGATCATGCTTCAGGAACATGACATCTTGCAGCCTGACAGTTTGGTGTCAGCTCTTTATTCGTGACCCAGCTGAGACGAGGGCATGGGGGGGGGGGGGGGCTGGATGGCCGACAGGATTAGTGTGTTAGGAAGCACGTCTAATTGGGTGAAGGTTGGCAGAATCACTCAGGTCAATGACAACAAATCTAACACAACAGAACACCAAAACTGAAGAAAAATTATTTACATCCTTCTTCACATAAAAGTAAATCTGCATTCGTCAGGGCTCTAGAACAGCAGCGCTGTGAATCAACAAACAGGCAATAAACCCTTTCCTAAAATAACCCACAGCAGCCGCACCTCTTCAGCACATTGTTCCCTGCTGTGGTCTGAAACTGACCCAAGTGGGTGTGCACTTGGCAGGACTCAGGCTGCATCTGTTAGAACCGTGCATGCCCTGCAACAGCAAGCCCATCACAGTCAGCAAACAGCAGCGTTCGGAAGATTGTTTATCTTGGTGACATCACTGCGTCCAGCGGATGGGCTGCCTCTCTTCCTGAGGAAGTGTAGCGTTTCGGGGGGGCTCTGCGGTGTCTCTGCTGGCTCCTGTTTATTCTGGGGTGGGGTCCGGGGGTGGTGGTAAAGAAATAAACAGCTCAAAGTGTTTCAAGGCGTATTCCACCAAGAGTGATGTGTTTCCCATTTCTGCAGCAATAAGACACGCAGACTCCCCATCTACCACCAGACACGTGTAACTCTGCAGACTCCATAGTTACAGAACCAGCAACAATTTTGGGTGAACTAAATCATTTCTGTGATTGTATCCCACACGTCGCTACTCATGCAGAGACACCAGCAGTGGAACACCATCAGTTTGTTTTGCTTTAGGAAAAGCAGGACTTCTCATTCTTTGCTTTGCTTTCAGTCAGGGAAATCAAAGGCTGGGGAGCAGCGTAGGATGTTGGGTGTGTTTGCTTCATCCCACCATATTCCAGCACATCACAGTCTGAAATATTCATCTGAAACTGCCGGGAAAGCAGCCCAACCCAACATCTGTGGTCCAGGTTTCATGTCCTATCCAGGCTTCAGAAGTAAAAGAGGTCTAGAGCAAAATGGAAGACTCCAAACGATTCACCACGGTGGTGAAAATCATGTCGGTCCTGGTCAGACGGCTGGTCACAGGAACAATTACCACAAGAATCTGCCATCGTAAAACTCAGAGGTTTACTATCGTACTTTCCTGACTAGCAGCACCAAAAATAATCTCAGCGGGAAGTCGCCAGAAAGCGTGTCAGACAAGCAGCAGAGTTTATCAGGTGGAGTCAGCATGCACTACCATGAGACAGGAGCCGTCTGGGGCCCTGACACTGGGCTTGGGCCTACACTCGTTGTTAGCTTAAAAGTAAGGTCCCATTAGTCGTCACACATATTGATGTGTGTGTGACATTTGTTCTCCCCATTTGACCCCCCATGCCCTGGGGGAGTGGTGAGCTGCAGGCACAACTGCACGCAGGAACCATGTGGTAGTTCAACCACCCCATCCAACCGCTTAATGCTGAGTATCAAGCAGGGAGGCACCGGGTCCCATTTTTCAAGTCTTTGATATGACCCGACTAATAAGGAAGGGTGGGACCCAAAAACTGGTTCTTGTTGAGAATCGGTTCCCACTGTTTCAATTCCTAGGAATCGTTTGCCATGTTTGATAACGATTCCTTAATCAGTTCTAGTCAGCACGAGAGATGCCAACACACGTAGCATAGCTTACACATTTACTCAGCAGGAAACACGGCGCCCAAGCAGCACAGCGTTGATGTTTCATCTCCACAAATAACACATGTGGAGGAGTTCCGCTGTGTGGTGAAGTTGCTAACGCTAACGGTTAGCTTAAACTAGCTGAGACATTCTCTGCTGTTTCCTGGACGCTAAACCACCAACAGCCTTCCCCGTCGTGAGTCCAGATGGGTGAGTCCATGAATGTGACGTAGATCTGTCAGGACTTTCTAATCCTAGAGTTTCACCAGAAGCTAATGCAGGAGATAGGTGTAGGAGACCATTCTCATGTTCAGCCTGTATGACAAACTCAGATTATAATCAGAAAAAACATTTTAAAAATGTTTTTCATTCAACCACACCTTTAACAGAAAACCTCTTGAATAATATTTTAGTTATAAAATAACAGACAATGATGACCAGGGAGAGTTGCTCGTCTAGCTGAGCTGAGGTCAACGCCATGAGCTTCTGCTCGTCTGAGGACGTCCAACATTAATATCAGATTATTAGGACAAAAACAAAGGTGAACGTTATTAAACAAGCTAATCTGCGCAGCTACACAAGACCGTGCAGTTCCTGAGCCTGCCAAATTGGCTTCATGGTAATTAGTGTCTGTCAAGGTCTGGGGCTTTGCTAGAGATGACAGCAGCATGGTTTATCGGCCAGAAACACTGTGATCAAAGGGCTAGCACACAGCAGCTCTCTGCTAATCAGATGTGGACGCTACATGCCTCCTGCTTAGCGCTATGGAGGGGAAGGCAGCAAATAATCCAGCATAAACATGCCCTACCAACACAGATTCCACCTCATGCTTCAAACCTGAACAGATCAATGTCACATGCAACCGTGGATAAAAGTATTCACACACGGCGCAGCTGCTGTGATGGAAAGCCTGATGAATGTGGAAAACTGCTCTGTAATCACATAAACGTCAAGTGTCAGGGTTATCTCAAGGTGCTTCCTCTCAACAGCAGAAGGCAGATGTGGCCATCTGTCAAACATACGGAGATCCAGAGCCTGACTGCATGTAGAGGGAGTGCCCGTTTCATGCCCCAGATTCAGCCTCTCGCACTGGCAGACGTCAGTCGCATTCACACATATGTGGCTGGCTTCTTCCACCAGCATCCTCCTTCCTGCCTACGTCACCGCGGCTCTGACATCACAGCACGACATCAGGCAAGACCTCCGAGGGGATTCCTGTAGCCGGGCAAACATCAAAGGGTTTAGCAAGCCCACAGCAAACGCTGACGCACAGCTCAGAGCAGGAAGGACGCTGTCTGCTTTTATTGATGCATGCGCACATATGAGCACCTCCTGAAAATGGAATTAGTGTGACTGATATCAGAGCCTTAGAGGGCCTCTTCGGTTTTGCTGACCAGCCCTTTCCTCTAGCCCCTGGAAGGAATTAATGAGCCACACACACACACACGCACACACACACACACACACACACACACACACACACACACACACACACACACACACACTTTTCGTTCTCTGCTATGAACAGAGGTAATTTACTGGTTCTGGAGACATTTTTAAATCGATGCAGCTTCCATAGTTCTCTGCTGGCTGCACTGATAAATCTTAGACACTCAATAATAGAAAATATCTCTGATGACATTTACTAACAGCTTTAGGTTTGGGCTCACTGAGCTATGGAAGGGCAGCGTCTGTAGTCCTACAGAGTAAACAAGGCTTCTTCAATTGCAAAAATACAACCAATAGGGTGGGATGGTAAATCAGGGCAAAGTTGTTTATATCACTCAGCCCGGTGTGGTGTGTGTTTAGGGTTAGGGTGGTGTGTGTTTAGGGTGGTGTGGTGTGTGTTTAGGGTGGTGTGGTGTGTGTTTAGGGTTAGGGTGGTGTGTGTTTAGGGTGGTGTGGTGTGTGTTTAGGGTGGTGTGGTGTGTGTTTAGGGTGGTGTGGTGTGTGTTTAGGGTTAGGGTGGTGTGGTGTGTGACTGCAGCAGAGTCAGGTGGATGTTTCCATGCATGGACGTAATTTTGGGGGGGGGGGGGGACAGGGGGGACATGTCCCCCCCACTGGTTGAGCTCTAGGACCAAGCGGAAAACAACTGTTTGTTTTGAAGCCTGTTTCCCATTAGAGCATACTGTAAAGATACCCCCCCCCCCTCCACACACACACACTCACTTCTAAAGTGAAAAGTATGTCCATGTTTCCATGTAGAGGAAGAGAGGTCAAACAGCAGCCATCATCATGCAGTCATGCTGCAGGTGTGACAACGTGACAAGATGCAAAACATCACAGTTGCCTAAACTTGGCCCACCAGTTGGTCTTCCCGTGCACGCGAACAGAAGCAGGACCTGTTCATAAGGTGTGGGTGTCTGATGGGCGCAGCTGTCTGTCCCCTTTCCAGGTGTGAGCAGAAACTTCTACATCCCTCAGAAGTGGTTCTCTTCACGAACTCAACTGAACCTTTACAGCTGATGGGTGAAGTTCTCTGGTGCGGCTCGGCTATTCCACAAGGGAAAGCTGGAAGTGTGTAACCGATGCTCCGAACGCCAACATGTCGGCTTCAACCAGAACGTCCCATCATGCGAACATCAGAGCTGCGTAGTTAGGTAGTCATTTGGCCTCTTTTCCACTCCAGAGAGGAGCGCTAACGCTAGCCTGGCTAGCTCCATCAGCAATCTTTAACCTTCAGCTGAGAGACGCGCGTTCCCAACAGCCGCGCTTGCTTAGTCCGAGCACAGACACGCGCTGTCCCGCTGTCCTCGCCGTCTGATGAGGGACACGGTCTCTGTCCTGCAGGAAGCGCTCATCCAAGCGGCTTTGCGGCAGCTGCCTCGGCTGGACTAGTTGGAGGACCGCTGGCGGACCCAGATGCGACGCTCAGCTGGTCTGCTCCAGGTCTGCTCCCGAACAGCAGCCGCACGCCTTCTCACGCTGTGCAAGTCTCGTGACATTAACACGCACACGCACATACAAACAGCACACGTCTAACAACTGTAAAGCTGCTCGACTTGGAGCCACTTTTACCTGGGAAACGCGTGGTAAGCACCATCCTCCTCCTCCGATCCCTTAGCAGTGAAGCGCGCGCTGCCGCTGTGGACGGACTGATCTGAGATCTGCTGAGGAACAGAACAACCCTCCTCTGTGGAGACATGCCTCCAGGAACGGGTGTCTGCCCAGAAATACCAGCACTTTTTCCTCAGGAGAAACTTATTCACTGATATAGATCCATCCATTCATTTATCCATGTATCCATCCATCCACCGAGTCATATATCCATTCAATTCAATTCAAGTTTATTTATATAGCACCAAATCATGACAAGAGTCGTCTCAAGACACTAAACACAGTAAACATTCCAATACAAGTCAGCTCATTAAGCCAGCAGGTTACATCAAGTCACTGACTAGTGTCAGAGTCTTTACAGCAATCCTCACACTAAGCAAGCATGCAGTGACAGTGGAGAGGAAAACTCCCTTTTAACAGGAAGAAACGTCCAGAGGATCCTGGCTCAGTATAGACCCTTTTACTGTTTGTAAACAATATGACGTCAGCGAGAATGCGCGCGCAGCTTGGCAACAGAGAATGGCGTTGTGTCAGGCTTTATCAAGCTACGCTGCGGGGTTATCACCGGCAAATCTTGAATGTTATATTATTAAACTCACTTTAACGAATGGCAACAGACTTCCGGATCCTTGTGGCATTACGGAATGGGTGGAAGATGTAGGTGCATGGCCAGATATCCAGTGGCCCGATATATATATACGTTTTTAGTGGAGAGGCCCAGTAGGTACACACGTGAGAAGCTACGGACATACAAATCGTTAGATGCATACAACTATGTTGTCTGTGGCCACGTACAGAAAGTAAAATACCACGACATTGACTCTGAGTTTTGTGTCTTGAAGGCAGAAGTCCTTCCTAGCCAAAGACAAGGACACGAGACCGCTATGTACGAGGCTTGGGTCATAGTAAACAAACCAGAGAACTACGTCTTCACAGCCAACTGTACCTGCATGGCAGGGTGAGTGTAGCATAGGTTTCTTTTTTTAGCGTGCTCAGAGTACAATCGTGTTAATTTTAGAGAAATACAGTTTATACTAATATGCAGTGGGAAATACAGATGAATTAGAATGAAATGTTAATTTGAAGCATGAAATAAAGCGTATACATTTGTTTAATTCTGTCATTTTGATGTTCCAGACTTGGGTCATGCTGCAGCCACGCAGCAGCAATTTTATTCAAAGTTGAGCTTTGTGTTAGGATGGGAAAAACAGAAAAGGCTGCAGTTACATCTCAGACATGTGCATGGAAAGACCTGAGCAGGAAAAATGTAGAACTTCGGACTTCTGTAAAGTTTCAGTCCACTGCTTGAAGAGAAGCGGTTCTGGCATCCATACACGCAACAACCCGACATTTTTATGTGCTCAGAACTTCAAAACAAAGGGTTTAAAACGCTGTTTTAGTATCGAGTGTGAATGAGGAAGCCTTCACTCTCGTTGCCAGGCTGCGCGCGCAACTTTTGATGACGTAGGTAGTAAAAGGGTCTGTAAGCAGCCATCCACCACGAGTCACTGGGCATGGAGAAGACAGCCCCCCCACACACACACACACGCACACAACATATATACCAAGTAGTGTTTCTATGGTTACATTGTGATTTCCTAGTGAATATTCTATTTTATGAGAGATAAACTTTATTGTATTTATCCTAGTGAATCTATAATTAAAAGGGTAAACTAGTAGTAGCACATTCACTGTCAAAGAAAGTTAATGTTATTATCAGGAGAGGGAGAATGTTTAAGTGGTTAGCAGCAGTGTGCTAGCCGATGACCCCCTCCATGAGGCCACCACAGCTCAGCAGAACATCATTGTAGCTTCTTCTGGGGAGAAAACACTTAGAGAGAAAATGAAGTTAACAGCTGAAATTGCAGAAAATAATACAGTTAAAGAGCAGATTGTAGAAGAAAGGAGTCGAGTGTGGAAAGTGGTCAGTATGTCCTCCATCCATCCATCCATACCTACATACATACATACGAACATATATCCATTCATCCATTCATACATCTATTCATCTATCCATATATCCATTCATCCATCTTTACAATTGTAAGGAATGTAAGGATTCCTGATCTGACCTTACACACACACACACACACACACACACACACACACACACACACACACACACACACACACACACACACACACACACACACACACACACACACCTTGTCTGGATGGTGCAATACCATGAAAGGGTAATGAACCTCAAACAGGGAGCTCCTATTCACATCTGGGCTGAATTATGGAAGGAACGTTCTCATGGAGAACACAAGCTGTTCCAATACTTCCTTTGTTGGTTTAAAGCTGCTTTTGTGACAACCGTGTTCATGCGCTCTCTGCTGCTGTGTGCAGGTGACTATCACGGATATCAACACATTCTCCTAACGTTTCTCACCATTTCAACTTGTTGCAGAACAGTTGCTGTGGCTCATGGCCCAGAAAAATAAAATCTCTCCTGAGGAAGAGGCTGAATAGATTAGATAAACAGCTTTGGGTTATGGAGCAGTCATTTTGCTACAACACTTCATAGCATGTGATGGGTGTCGAGCACATTTAGTTTTAGAGTATTTTCTGCTGAATAAGGAAACGTGTTACCTCGGAGTAAACATGAAACATATGTTCAGTGTGACTCCCTAGCAATGCCCAAATGTTGGCAATACTTCCCTGTTGATTCATTCTAGGCCCTGGTGACAGGCAGAGGAATGTAACAGAATCAGTTTGTGTTTGCGTGACACTGTGCTGCAATTGTTTGGGTCAGCACAGCACTTGTGCTTCTGCCAGATTCATTCAGTGGATGCAATGACCACTGGATGCTTTGTCGCTCCTAAAATAATTATGATTGTAGGTCTGCAGATGTATTCTGATGGGAAATGAATAACTTTGGTTCAAGAGGCCCTCAAATGTGCAGTTATTACTGCCCCGCCTAGTTCAGCACATTCTTTCTGCATGAAAAAAAAAAACCTTCGAAAATGTGCAGTGGAAACTCATTCTTTGTCCTTCACTTTTATAGAGAGCCATCATGTTAGAGACAATAACAGGTCTGATTATATGACAGCTTTGGACTGGACTGACAAGTGTTTTCTGTGTCTGGAAACAAAAATCACAAAAGAAATCAGTTACATTCAGAAGAAGATTCAAAAGATAACAAGAGCCAACTCTTTGATGATGTTTCTTCTGAACTGATCACAAAGTGTCACACCCCCCAATCACAGTCAGCCTGGGCCAACCATGCTGGAAGTACTGGCAGAACATGTGATGCTAGGAGGCCAACAATTAGAGCATTTAAAGCCTATTACCTTGAGATGTATTTAAAACTGCTGTAGCAGCCTTGGTCCACAGCTGCCTATGACAAGAAGTTACCATCCTACACCTGCTGACAAACAGATGTATTTATCTCAAGCTTTTTCTTTCAGCTGTTTGAAAGTTTCCTTTACTGAGGCCAACTTATAATAATTATAATAATAATAATAATAATAATAATAATAATAATAATAATAATAATTTAAACATGAGATCCACCCAGAGTTCCTTAAGGCTCTGGGTGCCATAGGGTTGGGGTAGACCTGAGTGGTAGTTCCCCTATTTAAAATGGTTCCACCTACAGGGGCATCAGACTTCTGAGCCCCCTGGTAAGGTCTATTCAGGGGTTCTGAAGACAAGGATTCAGCAGATTGTCGAACCTCAGATTAAGAAGGAACAATGTGGTTTTCGTCCTGACTGTGGAAAGTTGGACCAGCTCTACACGCTTCGGGCAGGGGTCGGAAACCCATATGCAGCTCTACTTTATCTGATCCGGTGTCGGTACAAGATCGGCTCGGGGTCCGTCGACTGCCGATGACGTCAAAGTAGTTGATTGGCTGAACATGAACCTTACGGAATTACGTAATCACGTTACGTTGTTATCACGTTACGTTGGTCCAGGCAAATCTTTCTGTTGGAAAGATGGACAACTTTTACAAAGAAATCCATCATTACCTCTTTGAAAATACACTTTTAGCATAGAGCTGCATGTATATTAGGGCTGAACGATTAACTGCATGTGCAATTAAATTGCGATGTGACAAAAGGAGATTTTTTAAATGCAAAGGCTGCAATTTGGCAGCGAGTGGTTAGCGCAATGCTAATATACGTGGAAAAACCCATAGGAATACTAATGCTAATATCACCGATTACATTCTTACAAATTATGAATTAGAAATGTGCCAAATGATAACATTTGGAGTCTAATAGAAAGTAAAACTACCATCAATCAAATAAGTACAGACAGGTATTTTAGTAAAGCCAGAAACGTTTAACTCCAGAGTTTTGGCTAGCAGCTATGAGCGTAACTGAACTACGCATGGACAAGACGTCAAAAATTCTAAACACAAAATACTTCAATAAATGGGACACACTTCTTTCCTGCAAATACAATTTCACAGGTGTTGCTAATACCTATGATCCTTCAAGAGATGTGCTCAAAGAGGAATTCAACATTATGAATACAATATAGTGTTTTATTTTACAAATACCATTATAAACACAAACTTACGTCTTAAGAAACATTATTTTAATAACGAAACTGCTAAATTCTTTCCAACAGAATAGATGTGTAGTGTATTTTGTCCGAGTGGGTTTGCCGTACTTTGACGTCATCGGCAGTCGAAGGACCCCGAGCCGATCTTGCACCCGAGCAGATCTTGTACCGACACCGGCTCGCTGTGCTGGTAAAATAAAGAATTAAAGAGCAGATTGCAGGTTAGCGACTCCCATGAACCGATGTTTAGAGAAACATAATATAAACCCTTTTTAAATCTTTTTTTCACACATGCATAAATTATTTAGGCATTTAGAGTCATTTTCTCCATTATGTGCATAACGATTCAAATGTCAGCGCATCTGCATGCGTAGGGGATCAAAACGACCAAGCCTTGAAGTTTCTTCGTCAAAAACCCTGTCAAATACGGGA